TAAGTTTTGTTGTTACTATTTATAGATTTTCCTGTTCCCTGTAAGTTTTGTTGTTACTATTTATAGATTTTCTTGTTACCTGGAAGTATTGCCCACTCCCCACAGAGACAGGCAGACACGGTTGGTTTAGTTATAGAAAGAGAGAGAGCAGAGGATGAAAAAGATGGTCTCAGGTAATTTTAACATGACAACTTCAAGATTAATGCTATAATTTGAATGAATTTGTGTGGTTGCATGGCCGAGTGGTTAATGCATCGAACTAGTGATCTAATGATTGCTAGACGCATGGGTTCAAACCCCATCAGGGGCAAGTTGTTGTGACCTTGAGCAAGAAACTTTACACTTATTGCTCAGTACTGGTTGGTTCCAGGAACGGATTCAAAAGTGTGTCTATAAGCTTATAGCTTCCTACACAATCAAACTAAAATAAATTCTGTATAAACCAAAAATGCTTTAACTTTGCCTTCATAACTCGGGTTTAATAACCGTTTTTCGCAGACAATAGGCTGCAGCCTATACGTTTAAAAATTCGAAATTTCAAAAAGTTTTGCTTGTAAGCTGTTATCTCCATAACTACTGAAGGGCTTGTGCCTTTTTTGGGACAATTTTATGCATTCATAATAATAAAGCAGTGATTTACTTGATAAAACTTCTAAATAACAAGCCTTTGTACCTTTTCAGTAAATTTTATGTATTCATAGGTAAGCATTATTATACTCAATTAAACACCCTTGTGACAACTTTTCCGAATAGTCCAGCCTTACTGTCCTTCGCAGTTCTTGTTGTGTGTATGAAATTAAATATGTAAGTTTTAAAGAAAAAATGTGACAATATTTTAGGTATTTTATTGAAGTAGAAGGTAAACCAACACTAGATTCCCTGTACGAGGAATGGTTCCATTGTGAAGATCTTGGTACCCAGCTGCCACCAGTCATTAAAAGGTAACTTTTTGAATCTGGGAACCAAAAGTAAATTTAGATAGTCTTTGCTATTCCCACCAGTAAAGAGATCTAGGCTAGATCTTTATAATACTGCACATTTTGTAATGTTGCTTTTCATTGGATAATCGTATCATTGATATAGTTTATATATACCAGCTGCTGTCAATTTATGAAGAAATCTCACTTTTTTCTTTAATAAAAAAAAAATGTTTGCTATATTATAAATTCATTATAGAGATTCCTGACAGGTTATATGGCCATATATAAACAATAGTTTGCAATATAACCCCAACAACCATTTATATAGAGCCATATAACCTGTCAAATATATTTATAACTAATAACATTATACTGTTGGCTGACCCACTTGTAATTTTCATCTGAATACCTATGAAATTGACCGTGGACAGTTATGAAAATGAGCTGGTGAATTAATTTTGCAAGATAATGGCGTAGGTAATATATGTTACTTTTGAATAACTAAAAAGGGTACATGTATACCTATCAATACCATAATCTGATATGTCTCAACTTGACATTGAAAAAAATGAGCTTAATGTCACTTTAATGTTTTAAATATATGATGATATATGCCATGAAATATTAATGTAAGGAACATTAGGGGATGGCTCTCCGTCTAAACCCACTGCACCTTTTACGGGGAAAATAAATGAGCAACCTATGTTGCTGAAAAAAAAAAATCTGATATGTGTGATCTGTGTTTCTTTTGTATGCTCTTCATCTATTTATTTCTATGTTTTCTGCTAATAAATGTGTTTCCAAATTTCAGGTACTTTGCCTCAGAACAGCATAAAACTGGAAAACCTTTACCAGGTAATGAGGCAGAATTAGCAGAACTACTATACTCATCATTTGCATAATTTGATAACTAAAGCCAATTCTATAGGGAAAAAAATGTTAAGCTTACTAAAGGTCAGTGGTTGTACTTAGGTTCCCCTGCAAGACTAAAGTAATGCAAGTACATGTACATTACATTTCATGCCAACTTTGTTGAATTCCATCTTTAAATACTTTAAAATCACATGAGCTATTGATTGTCCCAAAATCATGGCTTGAAAAGATTTTAATGCAATTTTCAGAGGGCAAAATTTTGCTAAAAGTTGTTACTCCATATACTGCATAGAACTTGTCCATAACTTTCACAACAATTACATTTACTCAAAGTCCAGACCATGTTTCTTGCTTTTACAATCTATTGAAAGTTAAACATGTATGCTTTTAACATAATGGCCATATCTATACTTATTTTTTCACTGTATTTTTTTCAGGCACCATCCCTGAAAACCCACCAGTGAAATTGAACTTTAACCTGACTTTACAGAACCCTTTTCCTCTAGCGCAGTTTATCAAAGATAACAGATCTAAGATAGATAGCGCTGGTTTCATCAAATTGTTTGAAAGAGATGATTATACTCATCAATTCCAGGTAAATATTCTGTATGTTGTATTGTTTTTAAAGTATTTACTATTCTACTACTAGATCTTTATATACCCCTTGTGACTGAGGGGTTGCCTTCAATGGTTGAGACATAAGAATTGCAGCCACTGTTTATCCCTGTGTGATTGTAAGTGGCAACTGAATGGGTTTGAATAACTTGAGTCTATGCATCTCTTAGATCCTGCAGGTGAGGTGGTTTTGACCCATTGTGTTGCTTTGAAGTTTGTAACACCTGAGGTTAGCCAAAATCATCTGTTTCTGTGCGATATAACTTTTACTGTGTTGGCGCCCTGTTAAACCAAACAGACATAAAAAGATCTTCATATTTTAAGATTATGAAGGCAAAAAAAAAAACTGTATTAATTTTCTCATGCACAGTAAAGCAATTTGACCTCAAGATAAGTGCGTTTTGTGGTAATTTTTCACAAGACTTGTATTGGAAATGATAACAGAAAGGTTAAATGATGACATCAATCTGGATGCTTTCTTGTGGGTGAAAAAGAGTCTGTAGGGGCCTCAGTGGCTAAGTGGTTAAGGAAACTGAATTTAAATCATTTTGCCCCTCACCACTATGGGTTTGAATCCCATCACAGACTTGGGATTTTTTCATGTGATTAAGCTTTGAATCTACGTTGCTGGAGGTTGGTGGTTCTACTAAGGTTCCTGCTTGTGCCTGAAACAATGCAAAGAGGCCAATCTGAAGTCTTCCTTCACCAGTAAAGCTGAAAAGTCACCATATGATTCTTACAGTGTCAGTACAACTTAAAACCTTACAGATCAAACAAATGACAAATTTATAATTTAGAAAAATTACAATGCACTGAGGGTCTTATTACATTACATTGGCAGATCAGTAAACGAAACAAAGATTTAATAGACTGAAGAAGAAGGCTGAGGTCATTTCTATGTTTTTGGCTGGCTTATGAGGTCAGAAATACTGTGGGCTATTTCTTATATTATACCGCACTTTACCAGATCATAATGGTAAAAATTCAACAAGGAAGGATTTCATATTGTTTGTTGTAAAATGTACTGAAAACTGTTTTCAGTCACCTTGTATAATGCACGTTTTGTAAAATATTCTTGATGGTTATAAGCCACTAAATATTAGTAACCTGACAAAAACAAAACTGTGTCACTTCACTTTTTTGTCAAAATGCTGACTTCATCTTGAATATTATATTATTAAAATGCCCGCTTACTTTTACATAAAAAAGAAGGAATGCATTTATATAAAGTATAATATTACAAAAAAACTTGATAATTGTTTGACTATAGGTCTATGTATATGGAAAAGGAGAAAACACAGCCAAGATTGATGTCGCTGAAACTTTCATCTGGGTTTTGGTAAGTTTAAATTAAATATAGAATTTCTGAAAACATCATTGGTTAGTAAAATGTTAATAATAATATGAGCAACTCCATGACAAAACCAGCATAATGCGATTGCAACCAGCATGGATCCAGACCAGCCTGGGCAGTCTGATCAGGATCCATGCTGTTCGCTTACAAACCCTATTACAAGTAGAGAAACTGATAGCGAACAGCATGGATCCTGATTAGACTGCGCAGATGCGCAGGCTGGTCGCAAATGCATTATGTTGGTTTTGTCATGGCGCGGATCAATTATAAATTCTTATAATTGAGCAGGAAGATTATACATGAACTGATATGTGAAAGGCTCATTAGATTTGGTTCATGATTTTGGAACAATAACATGAATCGTGTTCAGATTTGACGGTAGTTTTTTCTTGCTATTCTAAATACAGTAAGTTGCCTGTAATAAATTAAAATGGAAGCTTGACACTGGTAGTTGTGCAGTTAGGAATGAAAAATGAGACAGGAAGAAGCAGTCTTAAAAATTTCATTCCATTCCATTCTTGTAAATTGATTTTAATTTGAAAAAAAAAATATGTTTTTATTCACACATGACAATGAATTTAAAATGTCAGATGTTTTTCTTTTTTTGCGATATTTAGGAGGGCAGCTGTACTGTGAAGACTGGAGAAAAAGTATATACTTTAAATGTGGGAGACAATATGCTGATCAGACAAGACCAGGAGTAAGTTTTTAGTTTATCCCCTGGCCAATTTCATCACTAATTTAGGATTGATACAAAATGTTTTTATTTTTAGCTTGCCTGCTTGAAGAATAGGGAGAGGTATTGTACTCACCCCGGCGTTGGCGTCGCCGTCGCTGTCACACTTGGGTTAAGTTTGTGTGTGCAAATTGGTACCTCGAAAACTACTGAAAGGAATACTCAATAGGTTGAAACTTCACATACTAAGTGTTCTCTTTGAAGCCTAGGTCACAAATAAGAAAATGCCGCCGGGCGGCGTCTGTTTCTCCAAAAAATCACAATATCGGCCGGCGTCCGTCCGGCGGCAGTGACTATCGGACGGCAGCAGCTGCAAATTTTGCTCATCGGGCGGGCGCCTTCGAGTTTTAAGTAATACTTAAAAGCTAACGGCGGCCGGACGATAATTTTTGGGGTCACTGAGTATAAATATCATCGAGCGGACATCGTTCGGTCGCCGGGCGGCGACCGGGCGATGATTTTTTTGATCGGGCGATTTTTTGTTCTACTAAAACAGCGTCCAATTTAAAAGGCGTCCGGGCGGACATCGGCCGGGCCCCGCCCGGTGCCTGAATAGAGACAAGTAGTCAAACGATTATTGCCCGGTACCCGGAAGATTCATGTACAGGCACCGGGCGGTCATCGTTTTGTCATCCGGCGACCGGGCTGCTTGTGTTTGTTGTAATTTCAGCTTGAAGAAGTTGTAATTGCCTCAAAAATATATTTGTGAATATAATAATGTTTGAATTTTAACAATAAAACATAAATTTTCTCCTTCAATTTGCGATGTCTGATTTAATTACGCCTTTAACGGAACTCGACTACTGGTCTTTGGGTGACTGAATGTGAACAACAGGACCAAAATCATTGCCTTCCCTTTTTGAATTTAAGCAGTGATTTTTTTGCGATAATTACACAGCTGATTTAATCTAGGAAAGTTATTTAAATGTAAAAATTTGTCGGGCGCCCGGGGTAAGTTTTATTTATCGGCACATCCGTACGGACATGCGGACTGATCCGTTTTTATTTTTTCTGTAAAATTAGGAAAATTGCTCCCCGGCGTTTCTCCGTGACGCAACTGGGTAAGTTTGTGTTGCAAGGCGTCCAGGGACAAAAAAAAACGGGAAAGAAATCTTAATAGGGACGGCCACATATTAAGTGCTCATTGATCATTTAACTTTATGGGCACAGGCAGGTTTTTTTATCACTTGCAAATTTTTGTGAGTACAAGAAATTTAAACCTGCAAAAACCAGACCAAACTCGCTTTTTTCAACATAGTATCTACCAATATAATACATGATGCTTATGCATGCTTATCCATTTGAAATTTTAATAGAAAATTACTAATGACGGACAGCGTTAGTAGTACATGCCGACAGCACTGTGCATTTTCGACATCAATTATCAAAACAATTTTTTTTATTTAATCAGACATTATAAATGTGTAGTTATCACTTAATGCCTTACTAAAACCATGAAAATGTTTCAAAATTGTCATTTATTGAACTTGTCTCAGACTGTTTAAGAAAAAAATCTGCTGTTTCTTAAAGACCATTGACCCCCTTGAGAACCTATAAAATGGCTAATGATTGCTAATGAAACAAATATGGCCGGATTCCTACTCACTGGATATCTTTGGAGGTTTTCAGGGAAGTTAATTATTTTGAAAGAGGAAAAATTGAAATAAACAAGGCACAATTTTTGCCTTTATTGCCTATGGTGATGACATTTTTTAATTTCTTGGGAGGCTAAGACTAATCAGTTTTTGTATAGGGTTATTGTATGATATAAATACTTCAACTTTGTATTCTGTCTTTCAAATAATTGTGACATTATTATTGTTATTTTGTTTATAAATAGGTACACAGCAACTCGTCCAGAAGGCTGTATTTCACTGATTTGTTTCCAGGACCCAACATTGAAAAAGAAAGTACAGTGACTTATACCAAATACAAAGAATAATACTTGTGTATACATATAAAAACTTTGTGTGTTTTATGTACATGTGTAAGTTTTTTGTGTATAGAATCTGATATGTGTTATTATAACATTTAGAACATGTAATGAACTTGAGGAAAACATTTTACACATGCCTTTGCTCTTTGGTATGCAGGTCAAGTACTTTTACTGTTGCTTAATGATCAACAGATACAAAAAAAAGATATGTTATAATGGAAATGGTTGTTTCAAGTTAGAAATTGACCATGTGACAGTCATGTGATGTCAAAATTTTTCAGGATTATAACAAAAAATTGATAATGTACATATTTATATTGTCTGGCATTGGGTACGTTTTTCTTTTAGGGCTTACTGTTTGAACATAATTTATTTGGAAATAAAGAAGATACAGTGACTAAAAATTCCCAGAATTCAATTGTATATTTTTAAAAGATGTAATTCAGTGATAAAATTGTATAGACATAGTGCCAGTTTTTAACATGGTTCTTTTAATGTCATATATTTCATAGCCATTTACATGTTTTCGTTTAAGCTCAATTGTGATGAAAATTTTGAAGCTTGTTTGAATCTTTTTTTGATTCACCTTCTTTGAACTTACCAGTACTGGTGTCATGTTAGGAAAATATGGTCATGACAAAGTAGGCACAAACCAATTATCCTTTGGTTGAGGGGCAGACACTCTACCACAAGGCCACCATGCCCTTTACTAAGAGAATTTTCGTGAATTAATTACCTGTACTTACCTATATGTCAACAAGTAACTGTTAACTTCTCCACAAGCACTATCATCAAAACATGTGTCTTTTCATGTGAGTTATGCCTTTCTATGTTCTATGCAAATGGTACTGACTAAAAAAATGTCTGATGAAAAAAGACTTAGTTTTAAATATTCATTTTACAAATAGTTTGAAGCTTAACTGGACTACTCCAGAGTTAGTTTGAAGATTTTTCTAAGCTCAAATTCAGGACTTGGGTGTCAGAAACCAAATGAGAATGTACGCTGACCAATATCATGGGAGGAAATTTGGCTGTAACTTCATTAGAAATCAAAGCCATGATCCCTTAACCAATATAGCAACCTTGCCCAAAAATATTGCTTAAATTTCTGGGACAAATCTCAACTTTTATGAAAGAAATTATATGTACCAATTCTTTTGTGTTATTTTGTGCAGAGTTTATAATGTTAGTATTTCTTATATAGTTTATGATGATATGTAAATGAAGAGAGCCTCAAGTGGGCCATAGACATTTTATGCTCAACTCCCTTTTTTTCCATATCAGCAGATAAGTTGGGAGTATATTGTTTTTGTTATGTTTGTTTGGTGTCCCTCTGTGGACAATGGCAGTCTTGGACTAGAATCTACAAAGTGGGTCAAAGTCACTTTTCAATAGTGGTCATACAACCATTATTTTAAAGGTCAATATTCAATAAAAACTTTGTGTTTGAATGTCATGGAAATTATTGTAACCTAACTTTGTAGAGGTAATACACAAAAAGGATTACTGTATATCATTAGTATAAAGATTTTTGACAGGTTATATGGCCCTATATAAAGGGTTGTTTGGAAATATAACCCGAGCTGCTAAGCCAGGGTTATTTTTGCAAACAACCATTTAAAACAGTCATATAACCTGTCAGGAATATTTATAACAAATTTATAATACAACAAACTTCTGTTTGAGAAAAAAGTGAGATTTCTTGGAAAATTGACAGCAGCCGTGTATATAAAACTATATAAACATCATGATTTTCCAATGAAAAGTGACATTACAAACGTTCATTATTATAATGCATGTTATTTACATTATTTTTAACAAGGAGACATGTCTTCTTGAGCTACAATATTATTCTACAATATCTGTGATTACCTGTATATGAAATATACATTGTGTTAAAAAAATTGAATTGTTAACACTTAATGATATTTTTGTCTCAAAGTATTTACCTCTAGAGATTTTTTTGAATGCTTCCAAAGCTATATGGTTGTGATGATTAAACAGGAAGGATCTATATGGAACCAGTCTGTAAGTCATTAAATTTAAGCTGTGCAATGACAAAACCAACATAGTGCCTTTGCGACCAGCATGGATCCAGACAAGCATGCGCATCTGTACAGTCTGATCAGGATCCATGCTGTTCACTAATAAACTCTATTACAAGTAGGGGTGTGGATCGTCAGATAAGTGACGATCCGATCCAAACCACGATTCAGCACTTACAATTCACAAATCGAACCACAAATCTTTTGTTCTCAAGACACCCATAAAAACATGTACAATAGTTATAAAAACATGTTTATTTAAAAAAAAAAAAAACAGCAACAATACTAAACATTTAACATATAAAATATAAACTTTGTTTATGTTTTTATTCTTTGGATGAGTATTTTTGTTTTGTTTTTTGAAACCAATTACTTCCTTGCTCAGCATCATGGTACATGGTCTTTAATCGGCTAATTGTATTTAGGTAAACTTCATATAATTTATACTCAAATCGTATTTTTCTCGACTTAGAGTGTGAGAAACAGTCAATGTATATAAAAAAAATTAGATCGCGGTCCACGATCTCTGGGCTTACGAATATTCAAACTCGAATTTTCACTTTGATTCATGATTATCCGAGTACTCAGACCTCGCAGATGCGCAGGCTGGTCTGGATCCATGCTGGTCGCAAACACACTATGCTGGTTTTTTATGGTGCTGCTCATTTTATTTTTGAAGATTTGCAGGTGTAACAGTAATAATCAGAGATCTCTGTATACACAAACAGCATTGTGCAGTCTGACCAGGCTCTATACCATTGGAAGCATAATTTTTTGCATTTTTTAATTGAAACCCCTCTAAAATTAAATGGACTGTTCCAAATTTAAAGCAGTGCAATTACATTACATAAATTCAGGATAAATGTGATAGACCATTGTACATGCATCTTGCTTTTTAGATCCAAATTTTAGCTGTAATATGACCTATTCAACCAGTAAAATAATTTTATCCAACTTAGTTCAATAAATTCAGTATTGAACCTAAACTTGTTCAATATCCTATTTTGTAGGGTAAAGGTCAAATTCAATAAGTGACTGTGGTGTAAGAAGTACATTCGAACATTTTCATGTTATAACAGCATTTACTAGATAAACAAGAGATAGTTTAATGCCTGCCCTGCCTCATTTATGAAATGGACTTGTCTGAGCTTTGAATTTGAAATGGTCTATTAATAATCAAAGGGGTTTCAATGTCAAGAGTGCATGTACTAAAATTTGGGCATTTGAGATAACCTTGTTAATTAATATACATTGTAATTAAGGGCATTAAAGATAACCTTGTTTGTTACATGTACCTCGACCTTGACCTTTATGACCTTGACATTGTTGGCAGCAAAAGTCCTGTAACACTGTTCTGCCATTGATATATAACTGCTTGCTCAAATATCATTTGTACTTAAAACCATATATTAAGGTGCTTGGGATTTTTATAGTTTGTTACAGATTTTACATTGTGAATTTATATAACATTATATTTGAAAGGATAATTTTTGTAATAAAATAAGAATAAAATATGCATAAGTCTTAGTTATTTCTTTTTGTGTGTTATGAAGTTAGATAATCAAGAACACAGAATGATAAATGCTGTCAAATATATTTAACTTGGCTTAAAACATTAGTCAAGTTATTAGAAAACGTGGTCTTGTGATTGAAAATATATGGCCATGTGATTGGAAAAACATGGCACCATAGCTTTGTTATTGGGAAACTTAGCCTTGTTATTGGAAAATATGGCTTTGCTATTAGAAAACTTGGTCTTGGTGATTGGAAATATATGGCCTTGTGATTGGAAATATATGGCCTTGTGATTGGAAATACATGTATATAGCCTTGTGATTGGGAAACATAGCCTTATTATAGGAAAGCATACCTTGTGATTGGAAAATATGGCTTTGTTATTGGAAAGCTTAGTCTTGTTATTGCCACACAAAACAACAACAAAGACCTAAATGGCTTTAATGATTTCATTAGGAAAAGGTAGGAAAATCTATTTTTAGTCTCAAGTGACCTTGAATTGACTTCGGCTAAAATTTCACCTCACTATAGCTATTAAATGTGCTTCCAAATTAAGAAATGGTGTGTAAGTATGAAAGGAGGACAAACAAACCAGAATCTATATTGCGAAGAAAGTTACAACAGGAGCATAAACTTTAGTTGGTTTGATTACTTATGCTTGTCAAAGACTCTCTAAAGCCATGTTACCAAAATACTTTAAACTTGATGTGTAGCAACTGAGCAATGATCCCCTTCAGGATATCTCAAATTTATTGGATCAGGGGCCGACACAGTTTAAAATACTCCAGACAATTTCAAAATCAGCTGGCACATTGTCTGCACTGTTCGCTGTTCAGTCAGTATATACATATTTTAAAATTTTCACTAGAAATGAACACTGAAAAAACTGGACAAGCCAATTTTAGGTATTTACCAAGGTCAATTTATTTTGCTCCCTCAGACGAAAGAGCATAAAGTTGCCGTATGTCCGTCTGCCTGTCCATTTTGTCAAGAGCATAACTTGAAAACCCGTGGATATAATTTGTTTAAACTGCATACAGTGGTAGAGGGTATTGAGGCGTAGTGAAGTGCCAAAGAACCATAACTCTGTCTTGCCTAATTTTGGAGTTATTGCCCTCTGTTCATTTTTACACTTTGAACTTTGTCCAGGACATTACTCTGAAAGTATAAGAGATATTAACATAAAACTTTGTAGGTAGATAGATCTCATTGCATAGATATGCAGTGCAAAAGAACCATAACTCTGCTTTGCCTATTTTTTTAGTTATTGCCCTTTTTCAATTTTACACTGTGAACTTTGTCTGAGACATTACTGTGAAAGTACAAGAGATATCAACAAGAAACTAAGTTGGTAGATAGATCTCATTGATTTGAAGTGCAGTGCAAAGAACAGTAACCCTGCCTTGCCTAATTTTGGAATACTTTGTCTGGGACATAACTCTGAAACTACAAGACATGTACTTTTCTGTGTCCAAAACCTATCCAGGGAGCATCACCCGGTTCAAACCAGCTCTTGTATTTATCAAAAACAAGACAAAAGCATTTTATAATAAGAAAAATACTTTATTATTCAAAAGGTGCTTAAACAATGAAAACAATACATATAATTTAAATAGAAAGTGAAATGAAGGATTTTTTCAAATTATCTATAATCAAATATAAATCTCTATAAAGCAACAAAAAAAATACAGTTGATCACAATTCATAATATTGATTGCACTAAAATAGCAAATATGCTAAAAAAGAACAATAAATTATAAATAACCAATACTAACTAGGTAGTTCTTTAAGAACCATGGGTCTTTCAAAATGAACTGAAAGGCCCTGAGTATAATTTTGCATTGTGATATGAAATGAAAATATAATATGAATAACCCTTAAGTTAACCTGCAGAATTTTTGTAATGAATTCACCCTGCTTTGAATATGGAACAGTCCATTCAGAGTTTAAATTGAAGTACAAACAGTATAGAGCCTGGTCAGACTGCATGGATGTGCAGGCTGACCCCCCTGTATACAGGTGGCATAACCTAATCAATTCTGTAGCAGGAGAGCAAGGGTTTAACTTCACATCAAAGCAAAGTAAAATCATTACATGACTGTGCTTAATGTCTTTTAAACATTTTAACTACTCAAAGGGAAGATAACTGGCAGATGCCAAAAAAAATCTGAAATTTTTCAATCTTTTCAAATGAGGTGCTTAGGAACAGACCTGAAATATATCTTTCTAAGAATGATTGTTTTCACCAAATTTTCATTTGAATTTGGCCGTTGTGCCATGGAAATATATTTGTGTTGTTTACAACAATATTCCAGTAACTTGTATTGCTAAACACCATTCATTTGTCATGGTGTACTCAGAAATGCATTGAGTTTATTTAATAAGTATATTTTAATATACCCGTATAACTTCAAACCAGTATTAGTTTCAGCTTATTTAAATAAAAATTTAAGCATTCAAAAGATGAAATCACAAGGGGTAAAAAGGCAAATTTGAGCTACTTGTAAAAGTTATCTCCCTCTTACATGTATTAATTTATTTAAAAGACAAAAATATGGTCCCACATCAACGAAATTATCATCTTAAGGCTCATGACCTTCATAACTAAAGTCTTATGAAGTAATGCATGCATGTAAAATCTTTTAATGACATCCACTGTAAATCATTCATTTTCATAATTTGAGCCGCGTCACGACAAAGCCAACTTAATGCGTTTGCGTCCAGCATGGATCCAGACCAGTCTGCGCATCCGCGCAGTCTGATCTGGATCCATACTGTTCGCTTACAAACCCTATTACAAGTAGAGAAACTGATAGCGAACAGCATGGATCCTGATCAGACTTTGTGGATCTGCAGGCTGATCTGGATCCATGCTGGTCGCAAACCCACTATGTTGGTTTTGTCGTGACGCGGCTCATTTTTTAATATGACTTCTCTTTTTTAAACAACAATGGATGCACTACATACAGATATATCTTACATGTGGATATATAAATAAAAAAAACCAACAGTCAACAGCAAACAACTAGCAAAATAATTTCTTATATATAACAACTATTTTATTGGCACAAATGCAACTACAGACATAACTATACTAAGTAAAAATATACAGTTATTTCATTGTACCTAAGTATGTAACAGTATTCGTTGAACATTTCTTCTAAAAAAATAGGTAGCCATAACATTTAAACACTATTAAACAACTATTAAACACATACATATTTGTATTAAAAAGCAAAATTGCAACGAGTAAAATACAAAAATATATTTGAAATTCAAAAGTCAGTACTTAATATTATTATCTACTCTATAACACATGTCTAATATGCTTAAAGCTTCATGCCTCCAGATGAGCAAAATATTTAAAGAAAATAAAACTTATTTTTATTGTTGAAAGATTTTAAGAAAAGCAAAAAGTTCAGTAATAATTAAATGTTTTTAATGAATAATTTTGGAGTAACAATCACCATATTTCTTCTGTGTGGCTGACACAGTAAGGGGTATTAGTTTTTTTCACCTCTTTTTGGTAGTTTATGTGGATTGTACAATCATGTAAGTGTCATTTGCAATGTGGAAATTACTTTCTTTGTTCACTTCACAATGTTTTGATTATAAATACATTTTCAAAATTTTCATGAAAATCAGCATGAATCTGGAGGCATGGTGCTTTCATATCTGATAGAATTTCTTGTGGATCAAGATGAAAGCCACTTCCTAAATGTGCTTTCTTAAGCTGAAAAATAACCCTGTATAAACTAAGAATAATCTCGAAAATAAACAGAAAATGGCAGTTTATATAACAAAGGTTCACAGGTGGAATCAAGAGTGAAAATTTTTCTCATGCAATGTTGATAACTGAGCAAAAATGAAAAATTACCAATGCGAAATCCTAACCATCAATTCTATACAACAAAGTCCTAGGATTACCACATGCAGAACTCCTCTCTAGATTCAATGTGAACAGTAACATACGAAATTTCCTAACTTTGTATTTTCAGAGACTTTCATATTACTGAATGAATCTATGTGATTATTAAAAACAAGACTCAGGTCACTCGATAACAATGTGTAGGTATGAGTTGTTAAATATTCAAGTACCTGAATAATGGAATGTAATATGTTGGATAGTAAATTACAAAATGTTCTTCATCTTCAATGTCTAACTCGCAGATTTTTATAAAAGATATAAAAAAATGTAAAATAACAATAAATATTGTTCTTTCTAATGAGTTATTGATGTCATAATTAAATGTTACAATTATATGGCTTCTTGATGTCATAATATCATTTTGTGACCATTTGATGTCATAATATCATGTCACCATTTAGAACTTGACATTTTATTTCTTTATGACATCATATCATATTCCATCTGATCACCGGTAAAATTTAAAATTACCTTAATAATACTATGTTAGGCATGCATGTGAAAAACATTTAACGTTAGTTAGATTATATTGTGTATTGTGTAAGGTTACATTGTGTTTCCAATTAACTGATATGTCTTAATATCATGTCATCATGGACATGGTAATTATTGAGCAATGTGGGACTAATTGATGCAAAAAATATCATGTCACCATTTAAAACTTGACATTTATAATTTGGCTATCTAAAACTTGACATTATTTGGTAATCTTGTAGCAAAATATCAAGTTAGCATTAAAACATTGTGTTTCCAATTAACTGATATGTCGTAATATCATGTCATCATAGACATGTTAATTATTGAGCAATGTGGGACTAATTGATGCAAAAAATATCATGTCACCATTTAAAACTTGAAATTTATATTTTGGCTATTTAAAACTTGACATTATTTGGTTATCTTGTAGCAATTTATTATTTGGCAATCTTGTATCAAAATATCAAGTAAGCATTTAAAATCTGACATAATTTGGCTATATGGTGTCAAAATATCATGTCACCATTCAAAACTTGACATTATTTGGCTAACTAAAACTTTACATTATTTGGCAATCTTATATCAAAATATCAAGTTAGCATCTAAAATCTAACTGATGTCATAATATGATATCATGTTATCATTTATAATTTTACATATATTTACAGTGTGGCTAAATGGCATCATAAAATCATGCCTAAATTAAACATTGTTTTCTAAATTGTCAAAAAAATTCAAAATATCATATCACCATTCTCATGTGTGGCCTACTAACATCATAATGTCATGTCACCAGATTTCAATTAACTATTGTTTACATAGAAAAGAAAGTAAATTATAAACAACAAAGGATGATGCAGTGTCTATTCTAGGATTCGAAAAAACAGGGGGGATTTTTATCAAAAAGTGAGAATTTATAACATTTGTTGATCTTTTTCCTTCTTTCTCTATGTAAAATTTTCCCCCTGCCTCTGAAAATATAGGGGGGAATTCTCAAAAATATGGGTGAATCCCCCATCCCCCCTCCTAAAATAGACACTGATGATGTAAAAATATAATATTTCATCAAATACAAAATTCATCTGAAACAACTGTAACTTCTTTTACCAAAGAAGTTTTTTGGATAACACTTAACACGTCACTATTGGTGACTTTTCAAACATGCATGAGTGAATGGAATTTTTCATCAAAAATTTATGTCTCAAACATAGCTGCCTTGAAATACAAGAATATTTATCTAATTGTATCAAACAGAAAAAAATTAACAACTGGCCTTTTGGTCAACTCATGTCTATAAAAATATACAATGTAGTTTGAGGGGTGTTTTTTTGTCTGTTTAGTTGAGGAGATTTGCACATAAATTAAAGCTGATATGTACTATAAATGAGCCGCGTCAGGACAAAACCAACATAATGGGTTTGCGACCAGCATGGATCCAGACCAGCCTGCGCATCCCCGCAGTCTGATCAGGATCCATGCTGTTCGCTATCAGTTTCTCTACTTGTAATAGAGTTGGTAAGCGAACAGCATGGATCCTGATCAGACTGCGCGGATGCGCAGGCTGCGCGGATGCGCAGGCTGGTCTGGATCCATGCTGGTCGCAAACCAACTATGTTGGTTTTGTCCTGACGCGGCTCAAATGTATACCACAAAATTTGTCATTGAAAAATGAAATGTAGCTTACTCAATCATTTGCCAATTCTTTTGTACTAATAAATATATACATTCAAATACTTCTGGAAACAAATCCAGAGACAACAATAAGCATAATGCCCTAAAATATTATCACACATGAAAAAGAGGCATGTATGTAAATTAATTATCATAGAAAGAACAAATATATATTATATAATAACTTGTTCACAGTTAGCAGAAAACCCTATAAAACATGTTTCATATTTACATATTATAACGTCCCTGTCCAAAAATAATCTGTAAATGAAATAACAAAACTGTGGAAAATAATTTGATCTTAAAGGGACTCCACTGAGGTTTTTTGACATGAAGGGATAATGGGAATAATTTTTCCAGATAAATATTTAATATTATTGTAGGTGTAGATCAATAACTTGTATGCAAAATTTCAGACCAGTCTCTAACTCCAATTTTTAAAAATAATTACCGTACTCTAATTGTGAAAAATTACCCAAAACTGAAAAGCATTGCAACACTCCTCATTTAAATTGGGCTAAGAATAGCACAAAAATACTGTTTTCAATTTATTTCTGAGTATATTTCTTAATTGTCTTTAGTATATCTTTCTGTATTGAGAGCTGTAAGAAATACAAGTTTTATTTTTTCAGGCTTTTGAACCTCAGTGGAGTACCTTTAAAAGAAAGGGTCAACCAGAGGTAAATTTTTTCCCATGCCCTATACCATTTTTCACCATGCTCTACCTTGTAAATGAAAGGTGTTACTCCTATAAGGATATAGCTGTCTGAACACAGACCAGATAGACAAAATATAAATAAACAGACTGGACAAAAGCAATATCCCCTAATTTATCAGTCAATCCAGGGGCATAAAATGGATTTTAGTTACCCTTTATCACAGACGATATAATTTTTATATGGATCAATTGTCTAACACTATGAAATATAAATTTTTGCAGTTTCACCAGTTTTACTGAGTACCAGTATATAATTAAATATAACTTGGAACATTGGCATACAATAGCACAATGTGTAATGACTACTTTTTTATAATTGTCTGTACACTCAGGATAATTTCTAACAGTATTTCATCAAATTATTATCTCTCTCATTATATAAACACCATTCTTATCATAATACCTTTCATACATGTATATAGCAAAAATAGTCATTTCCTCATTCATCCTGTGTGTCCCAAATTTCCACGATATCATCACATGATATATCAAATAAAACAACTGTATAAAATAAGTACCGTTTCACAGTACGATTTAGTCCTACATTTTAAAACATCTATTTAAATGGTCCTCAGAATAATGATGATGCATACGGCAAATGTGGACAAGTATGTACAGTGTCGGAATGTTTTATATATATCTACATCAACATGCTTTTGGAAACATTTTTTAAGTTTACTGTTGCTTTTGCTCAAAACTTTTATTTATCAACAATAACAAATGTACATGTATCATACATGTGTAGACCTTTAGTAGTATTGACCAATGTGCGTGCCTTCACACATCTTCATCACTTTCCAGAAAGAAAGTTCTATCTTAAGGAATTACTCATGTTTATCTGCAATATCGAAATCTTTATGGATTGGTCCCCAGTAAAGCTGCCTGGTGTATTGTATCACATATCTATCTATTATAATACTCAGAAGGTACCACAGGGGGGCGTACTCTAGCGTAATCAGTCCCATGACATCCCAATCATAGTGAGTATAATCCCATGGGCATAGATCAAACTGTTGCAGTATAAATCCAGAGCTAAACTCCCACAAATATGTCCATATAAGATACACAAATCCTCGAGCAAAGAGCGGTAATTTTCTTTTAGAGCATTCTAAATAAATTTGCTCACAGACAAGTCCCGAAATTCCATATATTGGCATTATCCATATACTGGTGTTACCCATGAGCTTCCAGTTCAGGTTAAACACAAATTCCCACATTGCTGTGAATATTATCTCCGTAGCATAACCGTGAAGAGCGTATATATACCACCTCCAGAGTACAGATAAAGATGCTGATTGGTCCATTATTAACTGGATAATCTGAAACAAAATTTTATTACACAATAATACATATTGACGTAGGGTAATTATTGCATAACAACAAGAGCGATCAGTGATCACATAATGATGTGTCACCTCATGATAGCCAATTGCATGGTGCTACTATTGTGTAGCAGGAGACACAAAAATCATTTTTATTCAAGGGCAAGAAGTTCCCATAACTCAGCCAAAAATTATTCAACCGGAAAAACCCATGTAATATGCACAAGAACTTGAGCTACAATTAACCTGTAAAGTTTCATTGAAATTGCATTAGTGGTATAAGAGGAGAAGTCTGGACAAATATTAAAAATAAAGGGCCATGACTCTGACAAAAAACATTGAACCAAAAAATGCCGATAATATGCACAACTAGACTTGTTATTTATCATTCCTGTAAAGTTTGGATGAAATTACACCAGCAGTTTTCTGAGGAGTAGTCCAGACAAGCTTCTGTGTTGCTGGCAACACAAAAAAACACCTTTTTATTGAAGGGCCATAACTCAGCCAAAAATCATTCATCCCGAAAATTCTGGTAGTATGCCTAAGAACTTGAGCTACCAATCAATCTTGAAAAGTTTCATTTAAATTCCTTCAGTGGTACCAGAGGAGAATTCCATTCAAACTTTATTACCACATTTGTTATTCAAGGGCAATAACTTGGCCAAAGATCATTCAAGCAAAAAAACCTGTGTAATATGCGCAAGAACTTTAGCTACCAATCAAATCAATCCTGTGAAGTTTCATTGAAATGGCATTCGTATAAGAGGAGTAGTCCGGACAAACTTTATTAACACCCTTTTCAACTGGGCCAAAAATCATCAGGAGTAGTCCGCTGAAACTTTAAAAAATAAAAAAAATAATTAAAGGGCCATAACTCCAACAAAAGTCATTGAACCATAAAAAGGTAAGAAGTTTTTGAGAAGCAGTTTGGACAAGCTTAAATTGTGTATCTGGCAACACACAAAAAACATCTTTTTTTATTAAAGGGGCATTTAAAACTCAGTCAAAAATCATTCAAATGGAAAACCCATGCAATATGCCCAAGGACTTCAGTTACAGATCAATCCTGTAAAGTTTCATTGAAATTTCATAAGTGGTATAAGAGGAGTAGTCTGGACAAACTTTCAAAATAAAAATTATTAAAGGGCCATAACTCTGACAAAAATCATTGAACCGGAAAATGCTGAAGATATGCAGAACTAGACTTGGTACTGATCATTCCTGTAAAGTTTGGATGAAATTGCACCAGCAGTTTTAGAGGAGTATTGTTGTCTAGACAAGTTTTGTGACAGACAGACAATGGAGAAGTGATCCAATATATCAGTTATAGTTTATGGAAAATGAAAAATGGATAATATCAGATTAATGAATGATAAAAATGAAATAGGTTTCGTATAGGTCTTATAATTAGGACTAAAAATATAGATCGTTTAAGATACATCATGAGATACATGAGCAAACATGTTGATACTATGCCGTATGCTATTCAGATTTGTCTCACCTGACAACGCTAACAAAAATTTGGCTGAATATCTAAAACGTGCAATACATTTGCAACATAAACCAGTTATATGTCTTATTACTATTCAAAAGTAAAAGGTTAACGGATAACGTTAAGTCATTGCAAAAACGTAATTAATAAAGATAGGCAAAAGTTAATAGCTACATCACTGCGTTTCTTGACAGCTACACCTCTTTTTTGAAGAGTGCTCACGAGGTTGAACGCAACTAAATGTTTTATCAGTCAGTCACGACCGTTTTAGCAATAGCGTTTTTCAAATTTAGATGTATGAACCACAAAATGCCAATTGAAACAGGTAGATTTTTTAATTTGGATAGAAGTCTAAGAGTGTGCTGTTTATGTTCTGATAATTTGTTAGGTGATGAATTTCATTATTTATTTCACTGTTCCTATTTTCAACACCTGAGAAAGACATATTTAGACAATTCATTTTTTCATAGACCTAACATTATTAATTTTTCAAATTTAATGAATAGTGAAAGCAAAAATGTTTTATTCAATCTAGCAATATTCTGTAAGAAAATAATCTTTGTGCTTAATAATACATATTGATATATTTATTTTTTTCATTTTGATCTCATTCTCCGATTCTAAATTGTTAAGTATAAATATGTTATATTTTTATTCTATCTTTTTTTATTCTATTTTGTTCTCTTTTTTTTTATGTACATAATTATGTTCATAACATTGCCATTTCAATTATGTATCACTTTACTTTGTTTTGTAAACATTTGTTATATTGTTGTTTTCTCACATGCCCAGTTGGGCCTTGAGATATCAATAAAAACTTGAAAACTTGAAACGTTACTTAAGGTAGTACACCCCTAATGCACTTTCTCCACTTTGAAGAGTATTCAAATAGGCTAGAATCACTGTAAAGTGTATTGAAACTGAGGGGCGTGGGTTCGAACCCCAGAAGGGGCAACTTTTTTTCTTTCTTTTTTTTCTTTTTAACATTTTTTATTAATCTCCCAGATACCTTATGGAAGAAAAAAGTGTTTCACTTTAATTATATAATTTTTGTAGGTATATTTTTACTAAATAATGCCACATTTAATAGCAAATATGATACCAGATATTTTCAAAGGTTAATAAAATAAAAACTACACGGTAAAAGTATTTTATATTTCGCATGATCAACCAATATACATTTAAGAAAATTTAGGCAAACTTTGAAAACAGCCCCTCATTGTGGAAAATTTTAGGAATATTTTAAATAAGGCTTTTACACATGGAAATGGTGAAATAAGTGTTAAAATTGGGTGGGGTAGGGTTACATTTTTATACATATTAAAAACATTTCGTTTAAAAACAATCATTTTGCTTGTTTAATTTGTTACCTAAATGTCATTATTTGTTTCTTAACAATGAGCAATAGGAAAACATTTTTCATAATGATGATATTATAGATTATTTAGAGTTTCCTCATTTCTGAAAAAACCCATCTAATGGCCAAGTTTAAGTTTAGAAAAAGGTCCATAACTCATAAACCACACGGTAAATTTTGTTTAAATTTTGCATACAGGTGACATTTTAGGCATATAACTGTCCTATGTTGTCAATTTTACAGTTCCTTATAGTGACCATTAGGGGTGTACTACCTTAAGACAAAAATCAGTCAGTCATGTAAAAAGTTTCGACATCTGAAGTGTAGACTGTAGTTGTGCCCTTCCCCCATCTCAATAGTCAAACTCAAATTGATCTGAAGATGATTCGAGCATTGGGTCGAATTTGACTTTAGACACACATCAAGTGTTACACAGATGCTATCTAGAGTCTCTTCAATCGAGCCGACTAGATCTTCGTTGTATTGAGTGTAGTCTCTTTATAATATATAAAATCACCAATGATAGGCATATAGTCACCATCCACATACAAGGTTGTCTCAAACCATCAGGGAATGCCTCCCGACATGCCCATATGCTGATCAAATGTCAATTCCAGCCCACCAGACTACTACAAATTATCTTTCCAAGAACATATATTATCACTGGAACAGCTTGTTCCCAAAATATTGTTCCTTTGCCAATTTAACCAGTTCAATATGGCTGTAAGTCAAATTTAGCACATCTCACCATAACAGCTAAATTGCCAGATTGCCTAAAAGTTATTTTTAGCAAATCCTAAACATTTAATTCAAATTTATATAACAATTTTAATTATATAGATCAACTTATAAATGAAATATTGAGAATAGTGATTAATTATTTAAAATGCTTATTTTAATGTCTAAAAAAATATTTTTCTCTCCAGTGAAACATATTTTCAGTATTTTCGGACTTGTTTCTTCTAAATTCAGCCAGTAAACAAAATTTAAGTGGAAACCTTTCAAATTGTAATGAAAAACGTATAGATTATGAACAGAAAATTTTATACAAAAAAAAAGTCTATAAATACAGGCCGTTTTTCATCTTGTGGTATGAAAATTATCATATTATTTTTTTTCTTATCACTCAATGAAAATAATCCTGTATAAATTTATAGAAAAAGACTTGTATTTCCTCTGTGTATACGTGTAAGTATTTTTTACTTCACTTTTTTAGTGGTTTGACGCGCCGACTCTGCAGGTCCTCGCGAAAAGTAAGATAAATAAATAGACAAAAATTGAAATGATATATTTACATATTTTGTTTCACGTCATGGGTTTTATATCAGATCTATTCAAGACCGTTGTACTACTTTATACTTAGATTTGCAAATAAAATTTAAAGTAAATTTATAGCTTTCATTATAAGTAAATATTTTATACTTCTTTAATAAGATATTTATTGCAAAATATTTTATTTCGAAAATGTTCTGCATGGGTTATCACGGCTATTTTTAGATACATATAGTAATCTACCTATACGCACTTGTACGTATGTAAACATAAATGGGCTATTTATAGTTATCATACACATTTCAAAATAACAATTTCATTTCTTGATAAAGTAACCTCAATCTTGATATTGCAAAATTCGTGTACGTCATGGACAAAATAGGTGTTTATATAAAGATCCCGAATCATGGAAAAAGTTAATCTCTTGTAAACATTAAATTTTGTCGGAATGGGTTCACGATTTGGATACACAAAATTAATCGTGTTTATGCTGATATTTGCTGTTTTATTTCAAGGTGAGTTATTCTTAATTAATATGCAAATTATTTATATAGATCTATGTACTTGTCATCTTTTTTTTTTTTGTTTTAGATTAATATTTTAATAGTTTGGTAAGCACTTTTGAAGAGGACCGGGAAATGATCAACAGCGTGTCTGGTTTTTATAGTAAATACCTTAAATTTATATCATTCGTATCTTATTGTATTTCATATGTACATGAATTTCATGCAGAAAATGGTTCCTTTAATAATTGTAAATGTCCAGAAGCATGCCTCCAGATTCATGCTTAATTTCATCTAAATTTTGACAATGTATTGAAAAGTAAAATAATGTGAAGAAAATAAAGAAGTAATTTTTTCA